GAAACATTCCAATATAGAGATCAGCAAAAATGTGAAGCTCATTAGGACGAGCCTAACGGCATACATTTTTGGTGATCCAGCAGAAATTAATGAAGCTCAGTCGAAAACCGGTGTTGGTTCCACCATATAGCCATGTAAATAGAACATACTCCAGTGGTTGCAAACGCATTGAATGAGGAAATGGATAATCAAATTCTATTCGATCAAGTTTTTTGATCAAAAAACACGGATTTCTACAAGAAAGGAGCTACGAGTTTTCCATAAGGATGCCAAGGATTATCAAATAAAGTTGGGGTTTATCATTGATAGGTGACCGTACTTCTGTCCGAATTTCCACGACAGTGGCAATTATTCCGCGGCGACTACAGTATTCTTCCACTAGAAATTAGGACCTCCATATCATAGCGAGCGACTGCGCGCGATCGTGTGTGGTGAACGCGACGCAATTGTCGGGGGAAGGACACCCAACATCGATTGAGGTTTGAATAGAAATAGGAAATAGGAATAGGAAAAAAATCTTGTAAAACGACAATTTTCACGCCGGCACCGAGATAACCACGAAGGTCTAACCCTTGCCCGCGAACCTCTCAAAAAACACCATCTTGCTGTTCTTATAGCAACTTTTTTGTGGGGGGATGGTACGCTCGATATTCATAGCCAGAGAGTGATCGTTCTATTTGTTGCGGATAGTTTTTCCGTAAATTTTCAGAAAAAACGATTGAGGGTTGCGTGCCAACGTTCAAGTAAGTTAGCAACTTGCTGCACCAACTTTTTGGCCTTACACTGTCATTTGCGATCAGAAATGAAGCAACATTCTTGCATTCGATAGGAATGGCACTAGAGCTCTTGCTAGGCATTTCGCCCCACTGACAACCTCGATGAGTTTTGCTCCTCTGCCATCTTCGTGGAGGTGTAAGCACGTTCGTTATCGACTCGCAATAGACCATTTTAATAGTAATATCTTCACAACACCGGCCTTTCTGCCTCTTCCTGACTTGTCTTTGACTGAATTTCATATCTGTATCGATTAAGCCTGCGGCGACAGCGCTTTTATATTGTCCTCACATGAACCTTTATTTTCTCTTATATCTGTCGTTAGAAATGAATGATTCCTTGCCCGTTATGCTTCAAGATTCTCTAGAAGGCTGTGAGCTCAGCTGATACATGAAAACATGAAAAAATTATAGGAACACCTGATATATAATATAAATACTCCAGCGAGCCAAAAACGTGCGTCCTGGCATCGGGACGCATGGTCGCCAACGTGTTAATAGCCTTCTGAACGGATACTATAGCAATCACAATGAATTTCATGATGCCCTTCAACTGCTCGCATGCCAGTGTTGGCAAAGAAGTCTCACTCCAGTAGCCATACATACTGGAAGAAAACCCGCTTGTGCAAATAGCTGATAGCGGGTGTATTGAACTCGTACCCATTTCTACCTTGAATTTTGGCGTTATATATATTAGGTTGATGCATACCTTTTTTTTCCATGTTTGATCTTCAAGTATTTCGTTTGCATGGATGTTGGTATTTCGTCATCAGGCGTGCGTGTCGTGTGCATGACAGCTCTATCAGCTCGGCAAAGTAAGAAAGCCTCGCCGATGGGTCTCACATGAGGTGTTCGCTTATGACCTCTCGAGGAGGGTGTCCACTTGCACTTTTTTCTCATCTTTCAAAGGAAGCTCCACTTCCTCAAATTGATGATTACTGGTAGTGTGAAGTGGTCTCTCTCACAATAACCCCAAGAGGAAACGACAGTGGGTCGACAAAGGAGAACAGTTGGAGCCATCTCAAACGCCGACCCTCAACCAAAAAGGTTCCCGTGTCTTTTTGGTGGTCTAGAAAAGGCATTGAACACTGGGAACTGCAGGAGAAGAGAGAGACGATTGACGCCTCCACAAGCGTTAAACAGCTGCAGAAACTGAAAAATCAAGTCGACCCTTATCGTGAATCGAATGCAGAAATCTACTTACATCATGACAACCCCCGACCTCCCAAGGCAAAGGCGACCCGGGCGGAGAAGTATGGATGAATGACTGTCGCTCAGGCCCTCTACAGCCCTGACCTGACTGTTAAGCCACCTACAGCGCTTTTTGGGCGGAAAAAAAGTTTGCAACAAAAGATGAGGTGAGAAAGGCATCCGACGATTCTTTCAAGTCCCACCCCCGCCCTTCCGGGAGGAGGGATGAGAGCTGGGACAATGAGGATTTAGTCAATAAATGCAGTGAAGGAAACACAGTCAAAATGGGTGAAGCAACCGTACAGTGAGTTGTGCGCTCTACACTAATTCACACTTCGATTTTGCCGGAGCCAGGGTCCTTGGTGAAAAGATCAGAAAGATCAGAAAATCAGGTCGGAAATTATCATCTCTATCCAAAGCATCTCCTATTGTCACGTACATGTTAGCGTGGCTCATTTGGCAAATATATAACCCATTGCATTTTTTCTAGAATTGTTACCGACCTGATGAAATATTCCATAAAGCAGCGAACCACAATGCTCGCAGAAGGTTGGCGATGAATACGTCTGTACTTTCCATTTATGTTGCTGACGAGGGTCCTAGACTAAGAAGCACAAACAAAATGGATAGTCGATGCAGAAGTGTTAGCAAATCTCACAAGACACTGCTAGTGGAACATAAAAGCAAGAATTGAATATTTGCTCCGTTTATTCGGATGCACTAACATCTGTATCGACTCCCTTGTCAGCTCCTGGACAAGAAAAGTTTACAAATTCATGACAGCGCTTGTGTACCACGAGGCAGCATACTGTAAAAGACGTTTTGCTCAACTCACGGAGAAAATAAAATGAAATATCTGACCTTGACATTGGAAACCTTGCTTGTTCAGTCCCCATAGAAAGTCTTTGCAATGCGAACAGAAGGTAGGCTGCTTGAAAAACCGAGCGGTGAACTTGTGCGCTCTGAAAAACTAATTGAGGTAGCAGCCGCAAAGTGCTCATCTCAGCAAAAAGGGTAGAATTAGGTGATTGACGGTTTTAAATGTTCTGCGTTATCAGCACTTACTTTATTTCGTGTACATTCTTTTGACGTAAAGCCCCACGACGTACGAAAACATTGCCTCCAATATGCTGAGCTGAAATGGAAAAAAAGTGAAATTTTTCCGTCAAAAGATGGGAAAAATGTACGAAAACACTTCAGTTCCACCCGAATCTCCTACAAATACCATCGAACACTATACGAAGTCAAGTTTCTTCTGCGAAAAAAAGGGGCAGTGTTCCGATATTCATCAATTACTAACTCTTGCCTCGTGGGTAGGTGGTAATACTCTGCAGCGTCATGAGATGTGGGGTTAAACTTCACCCTGATCCTGCCCTGATACATGAGATTTGTAGGCGGGAGGCTTTCAACACGTTTACTGTGAATATTAGCATTCTCGTTGCCTGAGGAATCGTAGAAAGAGACGGCGTCAAATCCTTGTGTCATGGGTATCATAACATAGTAGTATCTATTTCCAACACGTCAAGGCCCACCGTAGTCTCAGTTTTCGAGGAATCTGGTTCCGCTCAGCTACCAATTTCCTCATGACACAGTTCTCGTTCCTGTTTGTACTAGATTGATTCTACTGACCAATTTTATTCTCGATAAATGTTAGGGTGCCTGTGAATATGAGATAGGGGTCTCCTCCAAGATCAACGCCTGCCGGTTTTCGGTGAAGCACTCAGCTTGCTTCGAGTTTTCGCATGCAATAAGTCGAAAAAAACATAAGTTTAACATGTTCTTGAAAACAATGCTATGACTGGTGTTGTCAGCAGAAGCACGGTTCCTTTTGGCTGGAGAATAATATTGAGAGAATGATTATGAGCGGCATCGATAGAAGCAGTCGCATTGATTTTCATTTTGGTCGCTATTCCAACATAGGAACTTTTGTTAGTGCTGGCATGCTCTTTCATTCTGACTACTATTTAGACTTTAATTTCATTTATTTGTTCTTAACTCACTCTTAGCTTTCTTCGGTCTTTTCAGGTATATTGAAAAAGCTTAGAAACATCGAAAACGTATAAGAATTAAATAATAATTAGTAAGACCAATACCGTGGAAAAGAAGTCGTCGAAGTTGCAGATATAAAATGATTACATGTGATGAGGGTTTACACAATTCTCTTTGACATTCTGCATGTTTTCAAAGAAGTTTTTTCTTGATAATGTTGGAAGACGGTTTCCGGCACTTGAACGCATTTAGAACTTTGCCTTCCAATCTATTTCGGGTATATCCAACAACCCATAACGAATGGTGCATTGCTGGAAAATATTATAATAAGAATGTTGCAATATGTTTTCTCGTAGTTTAAGCCGCATACAGTACCCTCTGAAGAATCGTGACAAAAACGCGATTTTTCTGCTTTTTATACCTATGTTCTTTGCAACTTTCTACAAAGAATTTTACGTAGTTCGACTCAGCTCGCCGAGCTCTACAATTCGTTAATTTGAAATTTGAAAAACTTTACCCTGAGAAAGATAAATTTCGGAGTTCTCGGTCTAAAAAATTTTCTGTGGTCTCGTCATTCGCGGCCATGCTCTCTGGAATAAATAATCAGAAGGCTTTCGAATCTATTGAAAGTACTCATAAAATTGTGATAAACCTATCACATTTCGAGGCGAGACGAGATGTGGGCTGTAATCGTTTTGAAGTTTCACAAAATAAGTGTGTGCATTTCTAGGAGCCTCTTTAATCAGAAAGGCCTTTTTGATGAATTATGTCGTAATTACAAATCTCTTCTCTCATTACACGAAACAGTGCTCAATGTTCTTCATAAGATGTTATATTTTTCACTTTCTCCGGCACAATGATTTTTGTCTTGTATATGAACTCGCGAGAACTGAGGGGAACTCCACTCATCTGTATGGCCCTTTCGATCCAATAAGCATTCGGCAAAGTCTGGACTTCATAACATCTAGCCACCACGGCAGGATTCGAAGCTGCAACCTTTTGCTCTTTCACGCACGTGAGTGGATCTCAACAGCTGTAGCGTTGTATATGAACAAGAGGCTCGTTACTGGTCACGGTACTGATCCTGAGATCAGACGATTGTAAGCAAATTCGACTTGTATATCATTCCTTAAGCGAATCCTGACGAATACGAGCACAGCCAATTATCGGACAGGCTTCGGCATAAGACGCGCTCACTCACAGTCACAGTGAAGAACTGGTGTGCTGTGCCGATGCGGATCGTGACTGGAGGCATCGATGAGGAAAAGCTGATGCGGATCGCTTGCCCTGCTTAAACAACTACGGCCGTTCACCGGACCGAAAATAGGCGGGCTCAGCAATCTTGTCACTCGGCTTATTCTCAATCTTACGATCTAGGATAATCTCCGCTATTATGAACAGGTGCCACTTCATTTTGGGGGTACACACGAACACGGCTCGATAACCACATCGACCAGAGTAATGCAGCATGTACTTCTGTCTCACCTATACAGGACAGTACCGGTGTACATATATACATCTATGCAACTATCGCCAAACTCATGTACCCGACATCCAGTACAAGTATTAACTACATGAAAAGTGGTGGCCATACATATTTGGCATCGAGCTTCGGCCGATTTCTGGTATTCGGAAAGTCTTCGCAACTTCATCGGAATTATTCATACTGAACTCTTTGAAAACAACTATAGTTGTAGGAAATAGTCACTTGTTTAGATCCCGGCACTTCATGACTGGCCTTCGATCCCACTCGGAAGCACAAGAGACTGAATCCTATTTTTCACAGAAAGAAAAAGCCACTATGTTATGTCGAAATAGGTCCATAATTTCATTCCGAAGTGGTACCTCGAGCGCCGATTCCCTGTCCAACTCCTTTACTCGATCCCCTCAATTAGCCATTTGGTTCAAATGGCAGAGAAAGAGTGTTCATTGATCGGCTGATTGAATGATTGCTTTGTTGTGCGCCATCAATCGAGAATACTCAGAAATTCGCATTTTCAAGCGAACGGGTACGCTCTTGTGCATGTATGTCGTATGTAAAACTGTTTCCGATTAACAAGGTCACTTTGCATTTAGTTGCTACTGAAATAGGAGCTAATACCTGGTTCCAATTTAGCGTCGCTGGAAATAACGTGGCCCTAGGAACATTAGTAGACCGAAGTTTTAAAACCGAACTTCTTTAAATTTCAAATCAACCACTTTGTAGAGCTCGACAAGCTGCGTTAACTTTGTAAAGATTCTCTATTAAAAATGTGAAGATCGACAGACAGACAAATTTAAGAGAAAAAACGCGGAATCGCGCTTATTTCGTTTTTTCTGTTCCAGTCGACACCTGATCAGGCCCATGCGTGGTAGAAGTAGAGCCGGATCTGCTTCCTGGAATGTTTCTCCCAAAAAAAAAAAAAAAATCGAAACTCACTTCTTTGAAACAGCATCGAACATTCGTGATAAGAACCCTCAAATAACTGCGAAGAAGAGTGGAACTCTCAAATAACTGCAAAGAAGAGTGAAGATCCCAATCAGGATTCATTTTCTGACTGTTCAGAAGTTGTTTTTCTCATCCAAAAACCTTGAAGTTGGATTGTGTGGTGCATTTAGCTTAGATATGTTGGCGTTCTGATTATAATTGGGAAAACATTTTTTTAGATTACTCTGGACATATGCTCATTAATCAACATTTCATTTGTTGGGAAATAGGTTTAGCAACGAAATAAATAACAAGATAAAGAGTAACAATAACAAGTGGAAAGCGAGACCGTGAATGGCGATCAACAATGCGATTCCGCGGCGGTCAATCAAATCGCGAGAGAGAACATAGCTTCTCGGAGCCTTTAAGCGGAAGCTAGCCTAAGTGATTCCTTCTATAGACTCAAATTCAATGGTGCTAGGAGCTAGAAGAGTTTATGACTTTTCGTCGTTCGAGTGCCAATAAGGCTTCTACTCCGTCGAGCATTGAAAACAAGTATGTTAGATCACGACCAAAACCCCTTGAGGGCTCCCTAGGAGAAATGCTTGGGGTCGTGACTTTTCGAACTATTCTATTGTCGGCAAATTTCGATATCTTGTGTGATTGCGAATGGCACGTGCAAAAAGGGGCTGACTGATATGTCGGACTCTGAAGGTTAGCAGAGAAGTTGAAAGGAGAGGTGGTGTCGGAGTTTAATTGCTGACCTCGATTTACTCTGAACGATAAAAATCAACGATGACGGCTCAATAGTTGACCGTTCTAGAGCAGCCCACCCGTGACTGTAGAATTCTGATTGAAAAATCGCTGAATTGATCCTGCTTTTTTTCCATCAAAACTTTTTGAATGTCTTTTCGCTTGTGTCAGCGCATTTGGTGCGGCCTATAAAGATACAGTATCCCTGCAAAGATGAACAATATTTCGGAGTTTTGCTCGGTGAGTTTCCGACCGCCCTTGATTTGAAGTGCATAGCGGTACCGAAAGTTTTGTAACGCAATCTTGAGTTAGAAGGGTTCCTCTATTCGGTCGGCGGTGGAAAGAAAATTTCTTCTACAAACACCGCACTCGGAGACCTTTATATGCGTAGGAGGGTCGTAGATAGTCAACACAAAGCAAAAGTTCTGTTATCGTTCAAGACACGTTTCATGAAAAAGCAAAATGAGGATGCGTCGAGGATCTCAACCTCCATACCATGCACTCAAGTCCCTGCACTATCAATTCGTACCTAGTAGGTGGGTCAACTGCTCGATTTGCTTATCATTTCGACAAAGTGGTATGACGCGCGTGGAAAACGATTCCGTAACTCTACTCCCGGAATCGTTTGTCGGATTTGATGGGTGATTGCCAATCGGCGGAATTGACACGTTTGCTAACATTATGTGCTATATGTGGTAGTATTGACAATGAAGTTTTTGCTTGACATTCCGCCCTACCTACAACCTTGGCGAATCCTGCTCCTTTGCCGCATTGTTGACGGGTCCCCTAGGGTCACGATCGACTCGCAAACGGAAACACTGACATATCTGCTACATCCTGATCTGTTTTTAATTGAAGCTCTTTCTTGTATCGTTCAATATACTATGCCTTTTATTTGAATGCCACGCTGGCCTACGCACGCTAACGCCTGCACCACGTATCCACTTGTCGCGGAAAAAAACTGCGACCTATTGATCAAAGGCCGCCATCATGCGCGACCCAATGGATTAAAGGTTCCTGATTACCGTATCATTGAGAAGTTTTGGGACTTCCCAAGTCCACACACTTCATTAATCATCAGGCGCTGTCAAGGGGTGCTCGCACGGAGTGCGATAATTCCTTATGTTTTTTCTCTTTGCGACTTGGCGAGACTTTCTAGGCCCTAAGTTCTCTTGTTGTACTCGTTCATTGTAGTGCCGTTGATGTTGCCATGTTAATTAGTAATGATGTCGATATCGTTGTTTATTGTTGTAGAAATGCCATTATTGTTATTTCGATATGTTAACTAGTGTTGCTAGGTTTTTCTGTTGTCACCTCGATCTCTTTAACTCATCTTGCTTTGCCACCATGTTGTCACTTCTTACGGTGTTGCTAATAATCTCATAATGATGCCGGTTTTTGGTGCCTTGTACACGATTCTCACAGTAACGATAAAGGTTTAATTACCCAAGTTTGAGGCGCAAGTCCCGCGTGGCGATTATACAAAAACGGGAGAAGGCATCCGACCACAGACAACCGTTTCACCACTACCGCTTACCTACGACTTGTTAAAGTAGCAATATGAAACGTATCGTTTGATTTTCCCTTTCATAACTGTTTCCTCGCCGCGCTCACGTGACGTTCACAATCTTCATCGTGCCTATGCGACTTTCTGAAGGACGCACAAACGCTGACCTGTCCATTAGTTCCTGTGTACGGATATACGCATCCATGCAGTAGTGCAGCTAATTTGGTCATTTAACGGTTTGGATGAATCACTCGCAAAACGTCGGTTGACCACGAATCAGTAGCAGTATTGCGGCGTCGGTACGATTATTTTGATTGCTCAAACTTTATTCTTCAGTGGTCAGTGGAAAGCCATCTTATCTCTTAACAGAATGCCTCTGTGCTCGCTCCAACGAAATCATTCGAAATAGATCTGGCTGTTTTTTCTTTCTCTGTTGTGGGGTTGGGGTGTTGGTAGTGGGTAAAAAATAGGGCAGAGTAAAAGTGGAAAAAACTAGAAATTCACGACTTCTTAGTAGCTGAGGGTAATACACCCGTGTTTTGTTTTCATAAGTTTGCCCCATTCTGTATGAACACATAGGACGAAAGCGACTGAAAAACAGGCTGTTGTTTGGATAATACAAATTTTGAAACATCTAGATTTCTGCCCGATTTCTGGGTGGAATCAAGTGATTATGTAGCCTGATTCCTCGGTTCCAACAGAATGGTGTCGAAACTGCAGGCCACTTGTAATTGAGGCTCGCCTAGCAGCCTCTCCTTCCCCTTTGTTTCATCCCATTGTCTATGCAGTTTACCCAAGACGAGTCATCGTTTTGTCAAGGTTTCTCAAGTTTTACGGTAGGATACAAGGTATTGCCCAGGAAGGTTAGCTCATGGCATAAATTTGAATAAGGCTGCCGGTGCGCGACCTTGCGCCCTGATAAGTTAGGTTGCGCACATGCAGAATCATCAAAACTCATCAGAGTGCAGTGTATCAGACTAAGAAATATCGGGGGAAAAGTGAAGAAGAAAGTGAAGATTTGGCTCCGCGCTCACCTTTTTACTACTGCTGCCCCTACTGCGTTGCCGTACGTCCTGAAGGCTTGGACTCTACGAAAGTGATTGAACACACAGTCAGCGCCATTCAACGCGCTGTGGAAGAGGCGATCATCAAAACTAATCTGTACCTCGAAAGCAGAAGGGAATACAGAGTTCCAAGCTCCAACGAGCAAAGATCAGAGATGCCGTTGCTTACGCCAAGAAATAGCAAATCAGATGGGCCGCACACGTCATGCAATATTGTGATGATCGTTGGACCTATGCGGTTACTGAATCCCACTAGCGCAATGAGCAGAGTTTTTAATAAAAAGGTATGAGAATACTAGACCTCAGCTCCCTCGGGCGAGAACGATCCACTGGATCACTGTTGCTCGCGATAGGTGCTATTGGGAAAATTACTGTCATCCGCTCGAGGGAAGTTTTGTCAAGGGACGACAGGCGACAGGTTATAGCTTATTAGAGTGAATGGTTGTCCAGTGTATAAACAAATAAGCATCAAAATATTACTTCGGACGGACGTAAGTGTAAGCGTAAGTTATCGAGCCGAGGCTGTGAAGATAGAGCCAAATAAGAAGTCGTATGCAGAGTGTCAAACTTAGCTGCAGCTTACGACCTAACACTCCGAGACTGGAAAGGTAGTTTACCGCAGTGGACGATACCTAACGAAAATCGCCTATGTAGTAGGGGAGGACTCCCTCACAAATGTAATAACATACTAGTGGTAGTGCCCGCGAAGAATCATGTAGCATCGCAGCACATACCTCTTCTTGTTGGCATAGCCATCAAACTCTCCCAAAAAGTAAGGATAGGCGAGTAGCAAAGAATGCACTGATGGGAAATTTACCAAGCTGAGTAGTGCCTAGACGGAAGGATAATGGGTGCTTGTTTCTCGGCCTACCAGGGACTTTTCAACATATCTTGAGCGACGCTGTGGAGAGCATAGTACAGGGTGCAAGAGGAATTGAAAAAATTCGAGAAAAGCGTAGACAATGCTTCCTAACCCTAGCCCTCTCGGATCTGGAGAAAACATTCTTCGATCGTGTGTCATGTCCAGTGATTTGGTAGAATACTCTGAGAAAAAACCGAATCAAAACCAATTCAAGGTTTTCTGTCGCGACCAGTCGCGACTTTGTCTATCATTCGTCATATCTAATGCATTAGCGTCATTGTTATGAGATTTCTTAGCCATGCAATGTTCATTACTGTAATGTGTATCTTTTCGCGCAAGCCGTATATAAGCTTCGCGCTGTGATTCAACGTTGGTTTTTCCCCATGGTAGATTTCTTTGGTGGAGAATATCGTCCGCAACAAATATTCCCACTGAGCCATCGCTTGAACAGTGTTTTGGTGCATCGGCCAAACTTTGTTCGGTCTGCTCTTCGAAGGTAAGTAGGAAAATCCAGTCGCTCGACCAGTGAATCAGAGTTTTCTGATTCCAAAGACCCAACAAGGGCAAAAATGGAGTCTCTCTTCTATGGGAAACCTATCCTTCATAGTGCGCTCACCTTGAAAACACTGGTACAGAACTTCAAATCGTACGCGGACCGACCAGAATATTCAGAAGACGACAAAACCCAACTTGAAGAAGTCTTGCAAAGCATCGACCTTCACAGGGGCAGCCTTGCGCAAATCGACCAGGCCAAGGCCAGTCTGCAAACCCTTGTGGATAGGATAAAGGATGACTACAATAGTTCAAAGAACAGAGAAGACAGAAAAAACATTCAGCACGAGCTGGAAAACATTGAAAAAGAGACGAATTTCACAGAAGCAATGAAAGATGCTACGTAATTGAGTCTCATGGTCATCACTCGGCTTACCGAGGCCCATAGCAATCGAAAACGGCTCGCTCGAAAATTGGGTCTTCGCAACAAAGCTCAAGAGTATGACGACACAACGAACGTACCGCATGCGCTTAATGAACACAATGACACATCCGCTTCACTAAACGAAGAGTTGAATGCAGCAGCATCCTCTACGCTGCCACTTCCTCGTGTGGAGTTGCCTAAGTTTTACGGTAACGCAAAAGAATTCCCAGAATTCTGGTCAATATTCGAGACTCTTGTACATAACAACAACAGACTGACAATCATCAAGAAAATGATGCTTTCAAGAGGTAGTCTGAAAGGAAGATCTGATCGAGCGATAAAAGGTATCCAATTGGTGCCTCAGAACTATGACTGGATGGTCATGAGTCTCAAGAAAAAGTATGAGAGTAAGTCTATCAACAGGTCGCAAATTGTTCAACAACTAATGAATCTGCCTCAATCGAACAAAAGTGCCGAGAGCAATGAAATGGTGTACGACAAAATCTGTTCGCTCCTGAACCAGATGACTTCTGCAGGACAAAACATCCGTCTGACAAATGATGCGATGTGGATCGAAACTATACTACAAAAATTTCCGTGAGACATTGTCGAACCGGTACTCATTGAAATAAGAGAAATAGAAGACCTCGTAGTCGAAGAGGTCATGGACATCATTGATAAGGAAATATCCGCAAAATCGTACATCCAGGCCCGCACCCAGCCACACATCAGAGAGTTCAAGAAGAATTCAAATAGAAAACAGAAAAGATCTCCCAAGAATGTGTGATATGCGAGAAACCCGGTCATCATCCGTGGCAATGTCGGTCACCATTGACCGCGGCAGAACGAAGGAAGATCGTAATGATTATGTTGGAAATGTTACTCTGACCAGCATTCCAGTAAACAATGCGCGAGAAATGACTGCCCGCTGTGCAGCCGACCTCACCACAGTAGGCTCTGTTACGCCTACGAAAACAAGGACGAGAATACCACCAGCCCGCGCAGCACGCCACAGCAGCATCTCTCAAACAACGAGCGTCAGTCGAAAGGGCAAATAAACAACAACAACGTTGCAAGAATTGGAAATGCCACCGACGCGCATAGTTCCGGACCAGGAGCTTCTAGGGATCGCTACGATAACGCGAAGTCAGAGGGAAATAAGGCGAAAAATTTCTCCAAAGGTTCAACTCAGAGTCACAGACACTTTACGGACAATCCCACGACAGCGATATCTGAGAATCCTGCGACTATTGAGAACTGCATCAGTTCCCACCGCAATGAACAAATTGTTTTGATGACAGCCGTAGGTGATATTTGGAACCACGACACATAAACGTTCGAAAAAGCTACCTTCTTTTTTGATACAGGAGCGCAGAAAACGATTATCCAAGAAGACTTCGCTTCCAAACTAGGTCTTCCAATGCTTCAACTGAGCAGTGCGTCATGTCAGGAATCGGTGGTAGAATCGAAACATCCAAAGCAACGTGGTTCATGTCAAGATCGGCACAGCGTACGACAAGGACCTAGATATTCTTATACAGACGAAACCGGTGCTAACCAATGGATTTCCAGCAGTCAAATTTTGCCCCATGGTTCAAGACTTTTTGCAAGAAAGAAACATCCTCATTTGCAACCAACACATAAGGGGTGAGCTGCATACACCACACGTACTAGTTGGCCTCGACTACTATTACAATTTCGTACTGGAGAATGGAGGTATTTGCCGAACACCATCTGGGCTTCGCATGGCTCGCACCATATTTGAACCTACAGTCTATGGACGTGGTTTGTTGGAAGTCCAAAACGATACGAGCATGACCATGATAACACGCGCTATGACGGCAATCGATGAAACAGAACATGATTTGCTCACCAAGCTCTTTGAGCTGGAAGGAATTGGCATATCTCCTAATGAAAGTGCCGAAAGCTCGCAAGTCGTAGAGTACTACAAAGAATACTCTGAAAAGATTTCCTTCGAAAACGGCGTTGTAACAACACCCTTCCCGCTTACTCCTGAGGTAGCGGACCTAGCCGACAACTACCCGTCGGCAGTGAAGCGCTCGATAAGCCTCCACCGTCAACTGGAGTGCAACCCTGTGCAGAAACGCTGGTATTGGAAAATAATGGAGCAGTACGAAAATGATGATATCATTGAGAGAGTAGATGGAGAAATGCCCAATTTAGCTGGTGTATATTACATGCCTCATTCTGGAGTGTGGCGTAAACACAAACCGAAACCACTGAGGATTGTATTCGACGCATCCTCCAAACGAAAGGGCCAACTTTCTTCAAGCGACGTGACACTCAAAGGGAGTCCCTGATCAATAAAATTCATGATATCGTCGTCGCCAGCCGAGTAAGCAACATCATAGTCCTTTGTGATTTTAAAGCTGCTTTTACTCAAATAAGACTGCATAAGCATCATAGGGATCTCTGTAGATTCCTTTGGCTGAAGAACCGAGACAGACCACCCACTCGGGATAACGTTGTGGAATACAGATTCAAGAGGGTACCTTTCGGAGCCAAACCCTCGCCAAGCATTCTGAACATGTCTCTATTGACATTCCTCAAGTCAAAAAAGACGCCGCTCGCGGAAGAAATTCTTGCCAATTTTTATGTTGACAATATCCTTTTCTGTGCAAGTAGCCCCAACGAGGCAGTTGCTAAGTACGAGGAAAGTAAACAACTTTTCGCTGAGATATGAATGAACCTAAGAGAAACAACAACAACTTACAACAAGAGCGCTACATCTTGAAGTGGTCGAGGATCTATCAGCCGGAGCTTCCCTTAATTCTTTCATAGGATTCATATCCAGAAGAGGAGTTCCAGTACTCAATCGGACTGACTGCGGTACAAACTTCAAACTAGGCCAGCGCATTATCGAAATGTTTGAGCAGTACAAGACCAAAACCGGAGAATCCGTCATGTCATACAGTGCTAACCGGCACATACAATGGCTGTTTAACCTTCCAGGAGCACCATGGATGGAGGGAGCCTGGGAGCGGCTCGTAGGCTCCGTAAAACGCGCCTCTACCAGATCTATTGGTAGAAGAAAACTGTCACACGCTGAGTTGTACACGGTGGTAACTCAAATCGAAGCCATCTTGAACACAAGGCCTCTCACAGTATTGGACCCATCGAATATTGAGGACATCCCTATCAGACCTGTCGATTTCCTTCGAAGCAGTTTGAAACAACTTGACAACGGTGGACGGGCAAGAAGATCAGGGCCCATCTTTCGACCCAACCCTTATACAAACAGTTGAACAGGCGAAACAAGCCTTCAAGCATGGTGAAATGATAACTACGAGATTCTGGGAAAAGTGGCATATTGAGTACCTCACCGCCTTACGTGAAAATCAGATAGCGAATAGAAAACAACCTCATCATTTCAAGCTACGAGAGCCGCAAGCCAACGAAATCGTACTTGTGGAGCAAGACAATCTGCCCCACGGCAGTTGATGTTACGGAAAAATAATAGAATTGGTAGGAAGCAATGACGGTCTGTTGAGATCAGTGAAACTTCTGATTCCCAACCAACACATATGGCACAGGCCCGTGAGTAAGATTTACCCACTGGAGATTTCGAGCAAATCTGAAGAGAAACCCAATTTCGAGGGAACACTGGACCAGGAGTCACTCGTAGCGAATCATCAAGATGAGGGTCACGGAACACTGAAAAAAACCGAGTCGTGCCGCAAAGCTAAGAGCGATTCAGACGATTAAGGAAGCAGCAGAGCGTGATCATGGGGACAGTGATTCTCCATCTCGCACGCCCATCAATTTTGCAAGCCTCCTGGTAGTGTTTCTAGGGAACTCGGCAGAAGCCATGCATCCGCTCACTTACAAAGACCATCAACTGCATGTGAAGCCTCCGGCGGAAATTCGAACTGTGCGTCCGATCAACATGCAAAACCTTTACGAACGTATCTAGCGAACTCGTCTTTCAGTTACCTTTCACATCGAAAAACGGCAGCGTAATTGCTTCGGTAAGATATTTCGTAAAATCGAAGCAGCAACAGAAATTCGATCTCGTAAAGTGTATGTACTCTCCCACATATCTGTGATGCTTCAAAGACATCGCTGTCGAAAACACTGCTCAGTAATCCCCATTGCTGGCCCACATGAGCAATAGTATCCCTCGCGATGATTTGCTGCATAATCTTCTCCACGTTTACTCTCATAATCAAGGCTGCAACTAATCGCTCGAAGGCAAACAAAAGCCGAGAAAGAGACGATGGCGCAGTGGTCCTCGCGGCGCTCAACAGAGGTCAGTTCCCGTCGGACGCAGGGGGACAGACGCCGTCAACTACGCGCACAAGGGTGACTCACACATACAGCACACCACGTTCAGTCCGCAGCCACTCAATCGCGCAAGCATAGTGGCCGTGACTATTGTGTTGTGTGTTTTCGCGGCGCTCAAGCAAGTGCACGCGTGTCAACATGGGTACCCTAGATATAACGTGGAAATCATCTGCAACTCTCGCAATAAATGTATGTTCGAGTTCAACAGGGTAATTCTCTTCAACGAATTTACCAACATGACCTGCTTCAGCCTTATGCAGTCAAATAGATCAGTAGGAACAATACTAATAGAACGACTTTCAGTAGAATTTCGCTATTCGAAATGCACGCCATTTCTCACTAGAGGACTAGGTGGTCTTCAGTGCCCTCAGGTGTGCTGATCTAGACTCTCGCACACTTGAAGCATGTTCCGAAATAAAGCCAAACAGTGTGATCGAGGAGCTTAAAAATGCGTCTCAATATCCGGGGTACTCCGGTTGCAAGCCTGCTTGTGGAGGACCGCTATGTGGGTGCTTGTTGCCACTACCATCATGCTCCTTTTATCGCGTTGCTAACGTGCCAAGAACTGAAGTTGTGTACGAGATAGCGGAGTGTTTGGAATGGAAGCCCACTGTGAGACTACGCATTCAAGTATCACTCCACAATAAAAAAAGCTCCAGAACTATTGCTTTACCACCATACCTTAAACAGACAATGAATGAAACTTCAATAGCTATCATCTCTCCCCCCCAAGCCGGTTAGTCCTCTTCTGGAGTCCTTTGCGATAGCGCATACGGAGACTCCACTAGTCCCCACAGATTATTGCCTGCCGGTTGAATGCTCTTCTGCAGAGGAAGCCCGTGAAACTTACAATCATTGCAGAAACAAAATAATCTGTGCCTGCGATGTGGAAGTAACTTCGGCTAAGTGTGAATGTTCCAATGATTCGGTTAAGAAACGTTCGGGTAGACATAGCTCAAGTGCTTCCAATCTCCACTCCCTTCATGAGGCTACTCAAGAATGGCGATTCCCTGATAGCACTGTCATCGAGAGAAGAAGTGATTGTTGCCCTGGAATCTACCTACATGCGCGACAGTGCTGAATTTGTCATTCAGCAGAACTGCAGCATCTGGTTGGCACCACTGATCGGATCTTACAACTGTCAAGAGGGAGCTACAGCGACGGCTTTTTGCTACACGAAGATGCACTCTTGGATAGTAATTCATTGCGAGCAACATGCATTTTCAGTCGAGTGTGATGTCACCAACAAAACACCGCTAGTGACTCTCGACATACTATTGTACTTCAGCAATGTACTGCTGACTGCAACGAACAATTGCACAAAATACCGCTACAAGGCACTCTTGCATTCTTACCACACGTCAATGACGAGGAGTTTTTTAACTCCCACATCAGCTCATGGACACCGTCGTCCACCTGGTTTCAAAACTGGAAAGTGCTCGATTACATGCCCCTCATAGATACCATCAAGAACCACTGGAGTATCTCACTTGCCATCTTTGGAACAGCAGCAGTAATAGCAACGACTAAGTACTTTGTGGTTCCAACACTGCTGTTTTCTGTGATTCAGTCAGCACTGAGCATTTTTTGGAGATTACGGTCTCGATGTTTCATGCCCTCTGTTTGCTAGTCAAGCTCACAATCAACTGTTTTAAAAGCGTTCCATCTCTGTCCACAACACCAAGAAACTGAACGGTCGGACAAAGCGAACTCCATAAACTCCTACCGGCACTATAGCCCCTGTATGAGAACGAGAACCCCTCCACGAGAACCACGATCTCGAGCTTGAGCATAAAATCCTAGCGTCTATCAATCACATCAGCACTGCCATCACCAACATCCGCCTCGGCCTCTTAACCCGCTCTATAGTTCATTCACCGCACCGCTCCTCGCTCAGAGCAATGGATGAAGTCGACGTTGCTATCTATATTGAACCGTTGGTCGACGCAGTCAAGGACGTCAAAGATCTGCTCAACATGTTCACCGTATCGTTCAATGCAAAAATCGATGCAATAGTGGACCTTCTCAACCGTCAATTCGAAATGGTGAACAACAAACTTGACGCTTTGCTTGAGAGAACAAGACCAAGATCCAGCTGCGTTTTCTGCACATTCGAGGAAAACAAAGACAATCACCCGACAGGACGGTGCCACCGATTCGTAGATCCTGTGTCACGCGCCGTTCAGGCGTCCAACCTTCGTCTCTGCAACAGGTGCCTCCGAGCCCTCCACCCTGAAGACTGCGGAATTTCTTGCTCTTTCTGCAACGGAACTCACAATGTTCTTCTCTGCCCAGCCAAGGCCTCCACATCATCAGCATCCTATAAGCGGCGTAAACTTTAAGATTCTGCCACGGCCCTGGAAATGCGCTCCGATTGCGCTCGCAATCAGTGCACGTTTCCTTGTCGTCATCCCTTCCCACCTTTTCCTCCCCCGTCACCGTAGTGTTTTCGCCTCTCGCTGTATTCACTTCCGACTTCCGACTGCTGTTCGCCCTCCTCGAGACGTCCACTGCTTCTATTCATTTCTGACGTCCGACTATTCCGCTGTTCGCCTTTCGTCAGACGTCCTGATTGTCGTCTTGATTTGTGTAGTTTTAATGGCTTAGTTACTTTCTATGGTTCTGGCGGCGGGGGTGTCGCGACCAGTCGCGACTTTGTCTATCATTTATCATACCTAATGCATTAGCGTCATTGTTATGAGATTTCTTAGCTATGCAGTGTTCATTGTTATAATGTGTATCTTTTCGCGCAAGCCGCATGTAAGCTTAGCGCTGTGATTCAAGGTCGGTTTTTCCCCATGGTAGATTTCTTTGGTGGAGTATATCGTCCGCAGTAAATATTCCCACTGAACCATCGCTTGAACATTTTCTGTCTCCCTCGACTTCCCTCGAATTTTGTAAGTAATGGTCGCTTGTGGAAAACGAACTTTGTTTTCATTGCACGAGAGTGTGCGACTTCACTTGGCAAAACGATAAAGGGCTCTGGACTCTCTCCCTCTCGGAGCTCTTATACCTCTAGCTAATTCGACTAGTCTTCTGCGCAGTCGATGATGAGTTTGTCGCTCATAATGCTCAGTGGTGTAGTTGAAGGGCTTTTTTATCTCCTGTTTCTCTCTGAGTAGTGCTCACGTTATCTCGCAAGATTTAAGGCCTCTTACCAAACATAGTAGCACCAAAATTGAGCACAGTATTGCTACTAACATTTTAAACAGTGCTTCGATCCGTTGGATAATGTAAAAACATTTGTTCCTAAAGCTTCGAAATTGCTCGACATCTTGCAAGCTCAGGAACATTTCGCATTTACTTTTTTCTGCACTATCATTTGGCCAATAAGACCGTAATAATGCTAGGCAACCAATCTGAGTGCTTCTTCAAGGTGGGGCTGGCAGTTGATAGAGAGCATGAAAAGCGTTATGCAAATGTCAAGGCACGTTTATTGAAAAAGCAAGCCGGTCCGATGACCCGAACATGTCACTCCTACGAGACCCCATTCCACCAATTTTGCCATCGCTGCAAAAAGGAGTGAGTAATCGGCCTGCTGATCTGTGCGACAAAGTGATATAACACAGGGAGAAACAATCCCGTATCCTTGTTCCTATCGCTTAGCAGATTTTGTGTTTGAAATTGAGATCAGCCTTGAGAACGCAGTGATGTACATAGCATCTTGAACTACCGCTGTGATCGAGTATCTTTCTCTTGCATCATTAGTTTTCTCTTCCATAGAAACATTACCGCGTATAGTCCTCTTGAAATTGTAGGGCTTCTGTTCGTATTGGTACATGGTGAATTCAAGTGAGTTGCTCACTGTGCATCGCATCGACAGAAGGAACGTTTAGTGATCTTATCTACCAGCCCTGTGCTATTTATATCTCCAGGACGCTTCGGTTACTCATCGACGGTGACACGCAGAGTTTCTTGAGAATCTCTCGCCCGGGCTTTTTTCAATATTTTCCTAGCAGTAGCAACAGCGGTGCATTTGAAGCGCAGGCCTTCTTCTCCAGTGTGGACTATATCCAGCAACCCATCACATTGTGGTCCGAGAAATTCGAAAAGGATTGGAAGCTGGGTTTAAGTTGCGAATATTTTTTCAGCAACAGCCCCTTCTCAGTCGAGAGCAAATGCTCCGTAGTGTTCAAATCGTACTCCTAAAAAATCTCCAACCCTCAGCTGCATGTTTCACAAAAATCCTTTTCAAAGAGGTTCGGATTAAATTTTGTATTTTTCTCGACCAGAATTGGCGATGGTACAGATTCTAGCCCAGTTAATCATAAAAGAGGGAAAATGGCTGCGAGAGGCGATATGACTCTTCTCACCGGCTTCAGCACTCGTAGTGTGGAGTACATGTATACTCTGAGGTCTCAACATTTATTCCACTCTGAACACCCTTTAATCAGAAAAAGTGTGATGAAGCGCGTGCCGCGCGCAATTAGTGCATGGCACTTGTTTTCTCATAAGACTTTCGAGTCTTATCTGGATACATTTGTATTCACTAGACTACGGTGGACTTTTGTCATCGGAGGAGAAAATACAAACAAATCAGCAGTCATTTGCCTTGTGTTTCTGCAAGTTCCACAGTGTGCTCCTTCCCAAGCAATCGTGTTTGGAATAGGGGACGTATGTGGGACAAGACGACCATTTTGAGGTTTGTCGTTGACCTGCCTACGCATCGTGAATCAAGAGACTGTCATATAAGATTTGTTGTTTTTTTAAGCTCTTCACGGGTTCATAATTATGCTCTATTAGGCTGACGTTTCGGCGGAATCGCCTTTTTCAGAGCCTGGAAGGATCGTAACAACCCGCAACAATTGTATCAAACGTATCCACCATCCCACTGTAGTTCGAGACCCCCAGGCACGCAGGTGATCAAAGTAGAACCAACTCCTCGTAGCTCTGCGGAATCCTCGAGACCACCCAGTAACCGATGGTAACAATCGACCACTGTCAGCTGGGGTAGATCTCCATTCAAAGTCGCTGCGGGAAAGCCAAACTAAGACCGTAGCTCACGCATGGTTGCGACACATTCTCCCCTACGATTCATTTTGGGACTGGTGACTTGTATGCAAAATGCTTTGAGGGTTTTACCCGCGCACAATTACGACTTCTGTGCTACGACTTCCACGGTGACCTCGAAAACACCTCCACTATGCATCTGAATTGGATGACTCCTCAAGGAAGTGAACTCTTTTGATCGCCTTATACCATCTATGTGCTCCTCAACTCTCAGGTGAAGTGGTCTTGCCGTTTCTCCAATATACTCATCACNAGTGAACTCTTTTGATCGCCTTATACCATCTATGTGCTCCTCAACTCTCAGGTGAAGTGGTCTTGCCGTTTCTCCAATATGCTCGTCACCACAATCACGGCAAGTAATTTTGTAGACCACCCCAGACATGTAACAATCACCCTCCCTTCAAGCTGGACAAACCACAAAGTTTAAGGCTGCACATAGGCTATCGTATAACCTGTTCCGAACCAGGTGCTTCTTTACATTGGAGGGTGGTACGTTCACGACGGCAACTGAATTTTCCAAGCTGATCTTCTTAGACACTTTCTAATGGAGGCACTGACCTTACAGAAATGAATGATACTACAGAAGGAATCTTTCCTTTAGTCGAGGTACTACCATGTCTGAGGATCACATCGCTAGAAGAAGCTCTACGTGAAGTTGGAAAATCGTAGTAGCCATTAGACGAAGCTATATCGCGTGCCATTTTAGGCTATTCTTTTTCCAACTCCACGTAGGGCTTCTTCTGGCGAAGTGATCCGCAGACATGGTAGTAGCTTGATTGAAGGAAAGATTCCTTCCGTACTACTATTCATTTCTGATGGGGACAGTGCCTCCATTAGAAAGTGTCTAAAAAGATCAACTTGGAAAATTTAGTTGACTTTGTGAACGTACCACCCTCCAATGTAAAGAAGCGCCTGGTTCGGATCAGGCTATACGATCGCCGATGTACAACCTCAAGCTGTGTGGTTTGCCCAGCTTGAAGGGAGGGTGATTGTAACATGTATGGGGTGGTCTACAAAATTGTGTACTTGCCGTGATTGTGGTGGTGAGTATATTGGAGAAACGGCAAGGCCACTCCACGTGAGGGTTAAGGAGCACATAGATGGTATGAGGCAATTAAAAGAGTTTACTGCCTTGGGGAGTCACCGAATTCAGAAGCCTAACGGAGGCGTTTTTGAGGTCACCGCGGAGGTCGTAGCACAAGAGTCGCAATTGTGCGCGCGTAAAACGCTCGAGGCATTTTGGATACAGGTCACCAGTCCCAAAATAAATCGTAGGGGAGATCACGATCACGACCACGAGCTATGGATTTATATAGAATTGGCCTTTCCGCAGATACCCTAATGGGGACATACCCCAGCTGACACTTGTCGGTTGGTACCGTCACTCGCTTGGTGGATTGGAAAAAAATGCACAGAACTACGAAGAGTGGTTCCCCTTTCGATCACCTGCGTGCCCTGGGGGTTACAGCTTTAGTGGGTGATGGAGACGTTTGATCGCATGGTTACAGATTGTTATAATCCTTTCAGGCTCTGAAGAAGGCGATTCTGCTAAAACATCGGTCTAATAAAGCATACTTACAAACCTCGCGAAGAGTTCAAGTAAACAACAAATCTCATATGACAGCCTCTTGATTCACGATGCGTAGGCAGTTCAACGACAAACCTCAAAAAGTCGACATATGCAATTATGCCGAGTTCCACAGAAAGGGAACTGTTATATGAGAAATATTGAAACGAGGAGCGATCCCGGAAAAGGACTTACCGAATGCGCCAAGACACAGCGGTTGGTGGAGGTCTGCGAGGCTCCACCGTTTTTCAAATTCTGACGAATTAAGAGCCCCAAAGTAGATATTGGGCTTCTGATTATCATAAGCATAAGGAAAGGTGCAGATTTGGAGAAACCGTCCGAACAAGGAAATTAGTCCTGAAAGTTGCTACCAAATTCATGGTGGACCCTGTACAAGCGAACCACATGCCAATTTGCTCACATGCGGGTGGTGCGCTCATTTTCTCTGTCCAAACCTGAATATGGTAGAATACAATATAGACGAAAATTTTAGAGTGATGTGTATTCGGTGAGATGAAGTGTTCTCAAACAGGCTCTAGTGTTTGGCTAGGGATGAACTGAGTGCTTTCACCCATGAATGTTTAATAACAGGCATATGTGGAAATTATACCTATATAAATTTATTAGTCGTGATTGTTCTTACTTCAACTACAATTAATAAGTTTGGTTGCGCTATCGTTGTTGTGCTCAAGCGTACTGGAAAAAAGTTCCACTAAACACGTACTGCTTTGTCCCCGCAGGAAAAGAGGTTAATGTCTATGCACT